AACATATATTAGACCCACCAACTGGTGCGTATTAGACGTGTGAGGTTATTTGTTTACTCTTGAACATCAGCAAAAATTTAACATTTCCGCTACTTTGAGCTCAGTTTTAAGCCATTTCCAGTACTAAAACCAATCAAAATCATCTCTGTTTCTGTAATATATCTCCATTCTATCAAATGAGACCAAGAAATCACAAATACAAGTATAAAAAACATACAAAAAAACACTGCAAAGTCGCTGTTTTAATCGAAAATTACGGTCTATTCTTTTTCTCTCATTATGCACTGTGTGCTGCAGGATTTGTTTTATGTGGTGCACACATACCACATAGATGTATTCTCTCATATCTAGGCCCAAATTTACCATTCACAGCTTATCAGAGTGAGCCGAGGTCATGGCATAGATCTACGGTTTGGACCCTCAATGTAAAGCCGTAGATCTACAGCACGGACCCTGAAAGGGTTAAACAGATAAGTAACTTGAAATCAGGCTCAAAGTAGATCTTGATTGAACTATTGGGACACCATAAACCATGACAAATTATTCCTGGTTATACTAATTTATTATTCATGAAATAGGGTAAACTCACTTATATTTTGTGTTGATGATGAATTCAAAATGGAGGGCCTGAGGACATGATTAATGAACAGAGAAAATGGTACTTTAATACCTGGAGTGTCTACATTGTTTATTATGGACTGTTTTTAACCCCTTGACTGTCGAAACTCCAAATCCTGAGGTGTCTTGTGGTGTCGAAAAATTTTTGGGGAAAAAAAAATTATGAAATGAAAGAGAATCTTTTCCCGATGATGACACCAAAAAAAAAAAAAAAATTTATGGAAAACTTACGGAATTACGCTCTCACGAAGTTAGCGACCTCGGCGATATTTACGAATCAGCGATTTTGCCCACTTTGAGCCCTATTTTCAGCTAATTCCATTGTTCCAGTCGACCAAACTCATAGCTATTTCTTTAGAACAACATTTGTTCTATCAATTGAGTACAAGAAATTGCCCATTTACCGATTTCAACTACCCAATAACGTGGTCAGAAATTTGCTATTTGGCCGATTTCATGCAGATTAAAAAATATGCCAATTTCAAAATAGGATCCAGAATGAACAATGCCGACATTCCTGGCTCCAAAATAATGTTTTCTTTGTTCATCGGTCACATCTCCAGGCCCTTCTTATATTACTCTTGGTTTCTATTTTGAATTTTTATTCAAACAAAAAATAGAAGATTTATTGCTGTGCACACTACTGCAATATTGTAATAATTGTATAAAAAATAACTCTGCTTGGTAACAAACTTCATTCTATTAAACCGAGCATAGGTTACTGGCCGTCTTCTTGTCATCAGTGCCGTGGTTGGGAGACCACTCTCTCCCGTCTTCGCATTGGCCACACTCGTCTTACTCACGGGTATCTCATGGAGAGTCACCCTGTACCTCTCTGTGAGCAGTGTCAAGTTCCAGTATCGATTAGCCACATTCTGTTAGACTGCCCTCTCTATCAACGAGCACGCAGAATTTACCTCCAACGCCGTCTTCGTTCTACTACTCTCTCTTTACCTTCCCTTCTTGCTGATGGACCCTCCTTTAATCCTGACTCTCTCATTGACTTCTTGACAACGACTGATTTACTCCACAAACTCTGATGATACCTTACGCACTCCCCTCAGCCCTTTCTAGCTCAGTCTCTTGCTGCCCTTTACCCTTTCACCATCCACTGCTCCGCTGTTATCCGTAACCTATTACTCATCCACCTCCCTTTTGCCACCTGATGCCCTCGCTTCCTTCCTGCCCTGCAGCGCTGTATAGCCCTTGTGGCTTAGCGCTTCTTTTTGATTATAATAATAATAATGTATAAATAATGTCAACCCATTCATGACTGCATATTAGAATGGCCAGTTTATTACGAGTTTGTTTGGTAGGCTGTAAGCGGGTGGTTAATGATATGTCTTCGGAGGCTTCTTACTTAATTGTTATGTCGTGGTGGGTACACAGACTTGTGTGTTTGTGCCCATGGCCCGGGAGGGCCATGCCACGAGAGAGGACACTTCTTGACTGAGTGAAGAGTGACGCCAGAGTGAGAGCGTGGCAAGGGCAGGCAGGCTGAAGTGGCAATGCCTATAGGTGGCAGCACCAGCATGGCGCGAAATATGAACTAAGCTGGCAGACAGCATAGGCTGTCTGTGCAGACAGTACAGGCTGTCTACAAGTTGGACATTTATTGGACGATGACATCATTTGTTTACTTTTGAACATCAGCAAAAATCAAACATTTCCCCTACTTTGAGCTCCATTTCAAGGTTCTTTTCATAGTAAAACCAGTCAAAATCACCTCTGTTTCTATAATATGTTTTCCATTCTATGAAATGAGACCAAGAAAACAAGAATACAACCATAAATACTATACAAAAATACATCACAAAGTCGGCATTTTAATCCAAAAAAAACGATCTGAGTTTTTTTTTTCTCATGCATTGCGTGCTGCAGGATTTTTTTTATATGGTGCACATTGACCCATTCTCTCACATGTGGGCCTACCAGCTTTCTCCTGCTTGATTTGAAGCCGCTAGAATTTTTGAGTATACAGTGGACCCTCGACCAATGATGTCATCGTATAACTTCAAATTCGACTAGCGATACATTTTAACGCTAACATTTTGCCTCGACTAATGCTTAAAAAAGCTTGACTAACGATATTCGGTCTCGGGTACCAATTAATATCGTTAGTCGAGGGTCCACTGTATATACGTCAAACACAGTGGCTCGTAAGATGTATATATGTGACCGAAACAGTCAAAGGGTTAAATTGGAATTATGTATTTTGATTTTGTGTTAAACTAGCCAAATTACTGACTTCTGTGCACTAAATTTATAGGGTAGTTGTGACAGCTGAATGGGCAGTTTCTTGCACTCAATCGATAAACCTGAAGGCACATTAGCAAAATAGCTAAGAATTTGTTTAAAGCAAGTATTGGAATTGGCTTAAAATAGGTTTCAAAGTGGGCGAAATCACTGATGCGTAAATCGCACTCGGACTACTAACTTTGTGCCTTTGTAATTTTGTATTTTTTTTTCCAGCAAATTCCGTATTTTTGGTGTCAATACCTTCAGAAAAAAGATTCTCTACCATTTTTTTTTTTTTTAATTGCCAACATTGTCTGTTTTATTTTGGGGCCCAACACTGAACAGGTTAATAACAGATGACAGTAGCAATACAGACTGTCAAATAATATAGTACAGTATTGAAACAGTAATAAAACAAAATACAATTGTACTACTTTCAGATTAACTGGCCCTGTCTTAAAAAAATGTTTAAGTTTTCAGAATTTGAAAATGCATAATCTTTGGAAAGTCGAATAAAGAATGAAGATAGTGAGATGCATAGTGATAAATTGCCATTAAATGATGAACTGAAAAAAAATTTTTGATTAGACTTTAATAACATCGTTAGGGGAACTTTTTATTGTTGCATTCTCAGTTAAACTAACTAGTGTCCTGAATCACTGCCCCTATAAATTCTATCTTATGGACAAGAATATATCTTTAGAACATTGCAGTAAGGCTACATATTCTTTGAATATGAATGTTTGTACAGTGGACCCTCGGTTATCGGCCATAATCCGTTCCAGAAGCTCAGCCTAAAACCGAAATAAAGTTTCTCATAAGATTTAATGTAAATACAATTAATCCATTCCAGACACCCAAAAATATTCACAAAAAAATAATTTTTTAAAGATTAATTATAGTTTTACATACACAAAACACTAATAACTAAATAAAATAAATACATGAACAATTAAATCAGTATTACATACCTTTACTGAAGACTTCTTGGCTTATGGTAGATAGGGAGGAGGAGAGAGGCTTGAGAGTCACTGTACCCCTGCAACTTGCTCCATTTTGCACACATTGTTAATCACTGAAGAAGGCACATTCTCCCCTCTGTCTTCCTCCTCTAAAGCAATTTCCTCAGCTGTAGTCTGTTGCTATTCTAGATGAAGGTCTTGCAGCTCTACCCTCTATCCTCTACCACCATCACTACCACCCTCTACCACCATCACTTTTGTACTTTGCTACAATTTCTTTCTTAAATTCCATCATGTTTCTCACTTTACCAAAGGAACTTTACTAGGAACTTTCTTTGGGGCCATGGTTACTTATTTTGTAGTTGCACTTAAATAACCACCAAAAACAATGGAATATAGCAAAATGTTTGGATGAATGAGCAGAAGCTTCCTCACTTGCCCAAAGACACAGCCTGATTGACACATGAGGTGGCTGGCGGCGGTGAGTTGACGAGTCAAATACGGCCAATAAAACCGGCCGAAAACCGAGTTGGCCGATAAGCGAAACGGCTGATAACCGAGGGTCCACTGTATTTACAAGATACCAAATAATAACAAGAGCCAGTATACAATGAAAACAACAAGGGCTTATCCTCCATATGAGTTTAGTACTTTTTTAAAAACAGTATAATAATAATTATCCCCATACACTACATGGGTTTTCCATGTAGTGTATAGATGTAACAAATGCCTCATTAAAATCAAGATCATTTAACTTCCATTGGCCATTAACTCTTATAACACACATCTATACACACCCCTATGATTGCACATGGGTAATCACTCTTATGATATACAGTACATTCTCTCATCTCTGAAGGATAATAGTGCATTGAATATGGCTGTTACATATTATAATGTTTATACCATCCTGCATCTAATTGCATGGGTTTTGTCTCCTGTCACTAATGTGTATTATTGTTATAAAAGTGGCAACATCTACTTATTCCTGAAGTAATGTTTAAACGTTTAATAAGTTGGTATGCTGACAAGGAAATTAGGCAGAGGGTATCAAATTACAAAATTTGACACCCTGTGCCTGATTGACATTTGATTAACAATGGTGTAGCATTCATTGTAAGTATTTAATAGTCAACCAGAATTGGCTTATCTGATGCGTGTGTGTCATCCTTTCATTCTCAGGGTCCAAAAGGAGAAAAAGGAATGAAAGGGGAAAGGGTAAGTACTTGGCTCAATTGTTATAAGTTTAAAAAAAATTATAAATGGATGATTCAGTTATTTCGAGCTTAATTTTATAAATTGTTTTGCGAGTAGTTTTAGAAATAATTTTCTGTATTTAATGTAAAATAAGCTTTTTTTTTTTTTTTTTTTTTTTAAGAATCTGAATAAGCTTTCAAAATTAACTACTTAAAAAATGCAGTGTGCTCTTGTCTGATGTAGTCTGATATACATGTACTCTACAGGGTTTAATTGAAAAGTTCCAAGACTATACTTATTGTGTAATGTATGTACTAACAAAATAAGTTGTAGAGGTGAATGACATTGTAATCTGAATAAGTGTCTTGTGTCTAAGGACTCAGACCTTTCAAAGGTAACACATTTCCTTCCATGACCATGTAGTAGGCAGAAGAGTACAGCTATTTCTTAGTTCATTCATATTGTGAAATAAATTTCTAGTGTATATGGCCCTTATAAAATGGTCCACATGTCTCTCCTGCTGAAATAAGTGGCATTCATTCACTTTTGTAACTTTTAATATTTATGCATTATATAAAATCTTTGAACATATTGATCATACAGTACTTTGTATGTGTGGGATGTTGCCTGTAACAAATAGTTACTAACATTCCATGAGGTATACACACTACATGGCTGCCAGGACCTAACCAAGTTGTATATTTGTGCTTATTATTTTGGGAGAGGATTTTTTCTTTATGCAGTTCAGAGAAAGTGTGTCTGTCTGTGTGTGTGGAAGGGGGGGGGGGTACATAAAACACCATAAATTTGAAACCGGATTCTTCAAACAATGAAAAACTTCAATGTGTTTCTTAGGAAGTAATAAATTCTTAGGGGTAAAACCCAGTTTCAAGAAAAACAATTTGGCCTAAATTAATTACTATTACACAAATCATTCAAGACGTGTATCCCTCAATATGTATTAGGTTAGCTTACTGACTGGATTAGCAAATATATTAATAACCTGCCTTTAGAATGTGCATTCTGATTCTGTTCAAATTCTTCCTTCATCCTAAAGTATCATTTAATAATTGTTTATATTATTCCTGCAGGGTCGACGAGGAAGACGTGGAAAAAATGGGCCTAAGGGTGAAATGGGCGTGCCAGGGCTGGATGCTCCATGCCCTACAGGGCCTGATGGACTTCCTCTACCAGGCTGTGGATGGCGACCTGGACAGGTAAAGGACTTCATTTTTTTTTTTAAATTTGTTTCTCCCAAGTGTTGATGAGTACAGTAAGATGAATGGCACCACATGGGTTTACTACTTTTTTGACCAAAATAAGAAAGTAATTACTAAAAATATATCCTGTTAAGTAATCTTTAAGAAGTAGGCACTTTAATCAAGTATTGTATTGAGATAGTATCATAGTATTTTGTTACAACTTGCATCATTTTTTGGGTGCTTGCGGTTAAAGTATTTAAAATTTCTAGTAAAGCTTAAGGATTGATTGGTGTTACAATTAACCATTCTTCTTTGCATGGTTTTAAATTTTAACATGCTAAAACATTGTGCTCCTGAGTTTTAATAGGGGAGAAAGAAGTGATATTAGGATTTTAGGAATGGGTGTGGGATTGAAAGATGTATATATGATTAAAGTGGGAGTTATCCCAGTTGCTCTTTGATGATGACAATTCTTTTAAGGGATTCTGAAGTCAAGTTATAAAGGTTGGTGGACAAATGTGGGAGAGCATGTGGGAAAAAAAAAAAGTGAACATAGAAAAAAAGCAAGGTGATGAGGATACAAAAAGTGTAGTGATTGAATATCAGATTGGAGAGGAGGAGCTGTAGAGGAAATGGATGCACTGTTTAGATATTTGGGAGTGGACATGTCAGCAGATGGGTCTGTGAAAAATGAGGTAAACCATAGAATACAGGTAAAAAGGTGGGTGGTATGTTGAATTATCTCTAGAATGAAAAAAAGTTTATCTGTGAAGGGAGAAAAAGGGAATGTACCAGAGTATAGTGGTATCAGCATTTTTGGATGGATGTGAAGTATAGGTTTTTCATGCTGCCCACCATAACTTTAACCAGTAATTTTACAAGTCAGTATTAAAAATAATAAACTAACATTGCTTATGAATAAATTAAAAAAAAAAAAAACAGTTAATACATATAGTGGAGTAAGAAAACTTATGCAATACTTAGAAGATTTTATGCCAAGAAGAATAAGTGAGCATTTTGTTGACTGTAACACCGTTGTCACTGACTTGATAAAACTGTACACAGTGAAATGTCACAATAAAAGCTTGCTCTGTACCTCTCTCTCTTCATTATTGTCAGCAATATGCTACTATAGCTTATCTGAACAGGAAGTTAACAATTAGATATATATGCATTTTTCAGAAATTATAATAATGTACCAAAATGTTCTAGTTTCCAAATATTAATGAAAAGTAAAATGTGTTTAATACATAGTCTTATGAGTGCCTGAATATAATGTAAGGCTATCATGTATGAGTAGACCAGAACTATAAGTAACAGGTTAAATAATGCATATTACTAACTCTTACTTCTAAGTATTGTACAGCTTTGCTTTCTTGGTTATGTGAATGTATCATTAACCTAAGTATTATAACTAATGAAACAAATGCTATAGTAATGCTTTAAATAAGACTTTACCAAATGCTTACCATGCAACAGGGTAAGAATATTATGCGACCCATGAGTGTGGGGATTGGCATTGGAGTGACCCCCATTGATGTGTTCCCCCTTGAATCACCCATCACACCTTCAACCACTCCACCTAATGAGGACTATGAGGAGGACTATGATGATGATGAGGCAGAGGACTCTTTGAAATGAGATCCTTCACTAACTCACTAACACTCCATCTGTTCTGAGTGAGTGGTCATGTGAGTTACACACATTTCAGCTATTTACACTTGTATGATTAGAATCCTTGAAGAAGCAGTTTTGCAGTAATCTTTGTAGAACTGGAATCCTTGTGTGTAATTAGCAAAAACCCAGTTGTATGCAATGGTGAACAATAGCAGAATCATGACTTTTTAAATTTATATATATTTTTATATATATATATATATATATATATTTATATATATATATTATATATTATATATATATATATATATATATATATATATATATATATATATTATATATATATATTAAAATATATATATTATATATAATATATATATATATATAATAATTTTTTTTTTTTTTTTTTTTTTTCTCAACAAGTCGGCCGTCTCCCACCGAGGCAGGGTGACCAAAAAAAGAAAGAAAATCCCAAAAAGAAAATACTTCATCATCATTCAACACTTTCACCACACTCGGGACATTATCATGTTTTTGCAGAGGTGCTCAGAATACAACAGTCTAGAAGCATAGTATAAAGATACACAACATATCCCTCCAAAAATGCCAATATCCCAAAACCCCCCCTTTAAAGTGCAGGCATTGTACTTCCCATTTCCAGGACTCAAGTCCGACTATTTTGAATTAACCGGTTTCCCCGAATCCTTCACTAAATATTACCCTGCTCACACTCCAACAGATCGTCAGGTCCCAAGTATCATTCGTCTCCATTCACTCTATCTAACACGCTCAAGCACGCTTGCTGGAAGTCCAAGCCCCTTACCCACAAACCTCCTTTACCCCCTCTCTCCAACCCTTTCGAGGACGACCCCTACCCCGCCTTCCTTCCCCTATAGATTTATATGCTTTCCATGTCATTCTACTTTGATCCATTCTCTCTAAATGACCAAACCACCTCAACAACCCCTCTTCTGCCCTCTGACTAATACTTTTATTAACTCCACACCTTCTCCTTTTTTTTTTTCAACAAGTCGGTCGTCTCCCACCGAGGCAGGGTGTAGAAAGAGATTTGGTAAAAAGTAATAATTTTTATAAAAAAGAGGATAAATAAATATACAAGGTATGATGTAGCACGTAATGAAAGTAGTTTATTAGATTATGTATTGGGGGATAAAAGGTTGATGGGTAGGCTCCAGGATGTACATGTTTATAGAGGGGCAACTGATATATCGGATCATTATTTAGTTGTAGCTACAGTTAGAGTAAGAGGTAGATGGGAAAAGAGGAAGGTGGCAACAACAAGTAAGAGGGAGTTGAAAGTGTATAAACTAAGGGAGGAGGAAGTTCGGGTGAGATATAAGCGACTATTGGCAGAAAGGTGGGCTAGTGCAAAGATGAGTAGTGGGGGGGTTGAAGAGGGTTGGAATAGTTTTAAAAATGCAGTATTAGAATGTGGGGCAGAAGTTTGTGGTTATAGGAGGGTGGGGGCAGGAGGAAAGAGGAGTGATTGGTGGAATGATGAAGTAAAGGGTGTGATAAAAGAGAAAAAGGTAGCTTATGAGAGGTTTTTACGAAGCAGAAGTGTTATAAGAAGAGCAGAGTATATGGAGAGTAAAAGAAAGGTAAAGAGAGTGGTGAGAGAGTGCAAAAGGAGAGCAGATGATAGAGTGGGAGAGGCACTGTCAAGAAATTTTAATGAAAATAAGAAAAAATTTTGGAGTGAGTTAAACAAGTTAAGAAAGCCTAGGGAAAGTATGGATTTGTCAGTTAAAAACAGAGTAGGGGAGTTAGTAGATGGGGAGACGGAGGTATTAGGTAGATGGCGAGAATATTTTGAGGAACTTTTAAATGTTAAGGAAGAAACAGAGGCAGTAATTTCATGCACTGGTCAGGGAGGTATACCATCTTTTAGGAGTGAAGAAGAGCAGAATGTAAGTGTGGGGGAGGTACGTGAGGCATTACGTAAAATGAAAGGGGGTAAAGCAGCTGGAACCGATGGGATCATGACAGATATGTTAAAAGCAGGGGGGGATATAGTGTTGGAGTGGTTGGTACTTTGTTTAATAAATGTATGAAAGAGGGGAAGGTACCTAGGGATTGGCAGAGAGCATGTATAGTCCCTTTATATAAAGGGAAAGGGGACAAAAGAGACTGTAAAAATTATAGAGGAATAAGCTTACTGAGTATACCAGGAAAAGTGTACAGTAGGGTTATAATTGAGAGAATTAGAGGTAAGACAGAATGTAGGATTGCGGATGAGCAAGGAGGTTTCAGAGTGGGTAGGGGATGTGTAGATCAAGTGTTTACATTGAAGCATATATGTGAACAGTATTTAGATAAAGGTAGGGAAGTTTTTATTGCATTTATGGATTTAGAAAAGGCATATGATAGAGTGGATAGAGGAGCAATGTGGCAGATGTTGCAAGTAAGTTATTAAATGCTGTAAGTTATTAAATGCTGTAAAGAGTTTTTATGAGGATAGTGAGGCTTAGGTTAGGGTGTGTAGGAGAGAGGATTACTTCCCAGTAAAAGTAGGCCTTAGATAGGGATGTATAATGCCACCATGGTTAACATATTTATAGATGGGGTTGTAAAAGAAGTAAATCCTGGTGTGTTGGGGAGACAGGTGGGATTAAATTATGGGGAATCAAATACAAAATAGGAGTTGACACAGTTACTTTTTGCTGATGATACTGTGCTTTTGAAAGATTCTAAATAAAGTTGAAAAGATTAGTGGATGAGTTTGGGAGGGCATGTAAAAGTAGAAAGCTGAAAGTAAATATTGATAAGAGTAAGGTGATGAGGGTATTAAACAATTTAGATAAAGAAAAATTGGATATCACATTGGAGGGAGGGAGTATGGAAGAAGTGAATGTATTTTGATATTTGGGAATTGAGTTGTCAGCAGGATGAGGTTGACCATAGGATTGATGAAGAACAAAAGGTGAGTGGTGCAGTGAGGTATCTGTGGAGACAAAAAATGTCATCCATGGAGGCAAAGAAGGGAATGCATGAGAGGATAGTGGTACCAACACTCTTATATGGGTGTGAAGCATGGGTTGTAAATGCTGCAGTAAGGAAGCTAAAGGCAGTGGAGATGTCGTGTCTAAGGGCAATGTGTGGTGTAAATATTATGCAGAGAGTTTGTAGTGTGGAAATTAGGAAGTGTGGAGTCACAAAAAGTATTAGTCTTAGGGCTGAAGAGGGGTTGAGGTGGTTTAGTCATTTAGAGAGGATGGAACAAAGTAGAATGACTTGTAGAGCATATAAATCTGTAGTGGACAGAAGGTGGGTTAGGGGTCGTCTTGGGAAAGTTTGGAGGGAGGGGGTAAAAGAGGTTTTCTGGGCGAGGACCAGCAAGCATGCGTGAGTGTGTTAGATAGGAGTGAATGGACATGAATGGTTTCTGGAACCTGACAAGCTAATGAAGTGTGAGCAGGGTAATATTTTGTGAAGGGATTCAGGGAAACCAGTTAGCTGGACTCATCCTGGAGGTGGGAAGTACAATGCCTGCACTTTAAAGGAGGGGTTTGAGAGTGACATCTAAACTGTTGTATTTGAGTGCCTCTGCAAAGACAGTGATTATGTATGAATGATGATGAAAGTGTTGAATGATGGTGAAAGTTTTTTTTTCTTTTTTGGTCACCCTGCCTTGGGGGAAACGGCTGATGTGTTAAAAAAGAAAGAAAAAAAATACGCATACATACACACCTACATTCATCCTCCCTCAATGGGAGATGGCTATTGTGCTTAAAAAATTATTTATTATATATAGATGGGCTCCACCTCTTAGTGCAAATTTTGGGACATAGCCTCAGAAAAGTAAATAAAAAGGCTTTGAGAAATTTTTTTTAGATTTCTTCATGAAGCTGTTTGAATATTCCACTTCCCCTACCACCCCAACTTTTTGTTATTCTAACAATAGGTATATTTTATATACTTATTGTAAATGCATTCAGATATTTAGGAGTGGACATGTCAGTAGATGGGTTTATGAAAGATAAGGTGAATCACAGAATTGATGTGGGGAAAAAGGCGAGTGGTGCACTGAAGAGTCTGTGGAGACAGAACTATGTCCATAACAGCAAAGAGGGAAATATACAAGAGTATAGTTATACCAACACTCTTATATGGGTGTGAAGCATGGGTGGTGAATGTTGCAACAAGGAGAAGGCTGGAGGCAGTGGAGATGTGTCTGAGGGCAATGTGTGGCGTAAATATAATGCAGAGAATTCATAGTTCGGAAATTAGGAGGAGGTGCAGGATTACCAAAACTTTTATCCAGAGGGCTGAGGAGGGGTTGAGGTGGTTCGGACACGTAGAGAGGATGGAACAAAATAGAATGACTTTGAGAGTGTATAAAATCTGTAGTGGAGGGAAGATGGGGTAGAGGTCAGCCTAGGAAAGGTTGGAGGGAGGGGGTAAAGGAGGTTTTGTGTGAGAGGGGCTTGGACTTCCAGCAAGCATGCATGAGCATGTTAGATAGGAGTGAATGGAGATAGTTTTTAGGACTTGATGTTCTGTTGGAATGAGAGCAGGGTAATATTCATGAAGAGATTCAGGGAAACCGGCAGGCTGGACTTGAGTCCTGGAGATAGAAAGTACAGTACCTGCACTCTGAAGGAGGGGTGTTAATGTTGCAGTTTTATAACTGTAGTGTAAGCATGCCTCTGGCGAGACAGTGATGGAGTGAATGATGGTAAAAGTTTTTCTTTTTCGGGCCGCCCTACCTTTGTGGGAAACTGCTGACATGTTAATAAAAAAATATATAAATATTTTACAAGATACAGTGGAACCTCAAATATCGAACTTAATCCGTTCCAGGAGCTAGTTCTAAATTCGAAAAATCTGAAAAGCAAAGTAATGTTTCCCATAAGAAAAAATGAAAATACATTTAATCTGTTCCAGAAACCCAAAAATATTCACAAAAAAATTTATTTTAGAGATTAATTACAGTTGTACATACACACAACAAATATAGTGTTCAATTATGTATTAATTAATGTAAATAAACATGACATAATATTTTTACTTTATTGAAGATTGGTGATGGTATCTGGAAGATAGGGAGGAG